TATATAACAAAAAAATTTTGGTTAACCATATGAATTTGGGTAAAATTGACATCTTTACTATTTTGAGTCTTCCAATACATGGAAGATAGATGTGTCTCTCCATTTTTGTAGATGTTTGATTTCTTTCATCAGTGTTATATAGTTTTTAGCATATAAGTCCTATATATCTTTTTTAGAATTATACTTCATTTTATATTGAACCATTGTAAATGATAATATATTTTTAATTGCAATGTCCACGTTTGTTGCCAATGTGTAGACATACAATTGATTGTTGTATGTTTATTTTGTATCCTGTACTTTGGTGAACTTACTTATTTAAGGTTTTTTTGTTTTGTTTTTAGTATTCTTTGGGTTTTCTACATAGTCATATCATCTGGAAATAGGGACCGTTTATTTCTTTTTCTGCTGTGTGTGTATGTGTGTGTGTGTGTCTTTTATTTACTTTGACTTACTACATTGGTTAGAACTTCTGCTACTATGCTGAATAAGAGTAATGAGAGTAGACATCTTTTCCTGTTCCCTACCTTAGAGGGAAAACATTCAGTTTTACACTATTGTTAGCTTTGTAAGTTACTTGTTGATAATTCTTTATTAAGTTGAGGACACTCCCCTCTATTTCTTTTTTCCTGAGGGCTTTATCATGAATGGATATTAAATTTTTTGATACTTTTTCTACATTAAATGATACAATTATGTGGTTTTTCTTTCTTTCTTTTTTTTTTGTATTTGTCTGTTTTTACTATCAAGGTAGTACTAAGCTCATACCTTTAGAACCCTGAAAAAGAACAAAATAAAGTAGCAGGAGAAATTAAATAAGAACAGAAATTATTGAAATTGAAAACAGAAAACAGAGAGAAAAATCAATGAGACAAAGAGCTTTGACAATACAATAAAATTGACAAGTCTTTAGCAACATTGAAAAAAGACAAAAATTATCAAGATCAGGAATAAAAATACGGATATCATTACAGAGCCACACATAAAAAGGATTGTAAGGGAGTACACTATGAACAACTCTGTGTACCACAATGCCCAGCTAATTTTTCTATTTTTAGTGGGGACAGGATCTTACTCTTGCTCAGGCTGGTCTTTAACTCCTGACCTCAAGCAATCCTGCCTCAGCCCTCCCAGAGTGCTAGAATTATAGGCGGGACCTACTGTGCTCAGCCAAAAATTTCCTTTTGGTTCTTTTTTATATCTTATATTTTTTTCCTTAGACTTTCTCTCTGAGACTTTCTATTTTTTTATTTGTTTCATTGTGTTCTTAATTACTTGTTAAAGCATTTTTATGATAGTTGTTTTAAAATCTGTCAGCTAATTCTAAACCTCTCTCATTTTGGTGTTTGCATCTGTTGGTTGAATTTTTGGATTCTATTTGAGATCTTGGTTCTTGGTATGATAAGAGGTGTTTGTTTGTTTGTTTGTTTGTTTGTTTGTTTGTTTGTTTTTTTGAGACAGAGTCTCGCTTTGTTGTCCAGGCTAGAGTGAGTGCCGTGGCGTCAGCCTAGCTCACAGCAACCTCAAACTCCTGGGCTCAAGCAATCCTGCCTCAGCCTCCCGAGTAGCTGGGACTACAGGCATGAGCCACCATGCCCGGCTAATTTTTTACATATATATATCAGTTGGCCAATTAATTTCTTTCTATTTATAGTAGAGACAGGGTCTCACTCTTGCTCAGGCTGGTTTTGAACTCCTGACCTTGAGCAATCCGCCCGCCTCGGCCTCCCAAGAGCTAGGATTACAGGCGTGAGCCACCGCGCCCGGCCTGTTTGTTTGTTTTAATAGAAACCTGGACATTTTGGGTATTATGTTATTAAACTCTGGATCTTAGTTAAACCTTCTGTGTTAAGCTAGCTTACTCTAAGGGCCACTCTGGCAAAAAAAAAGTCAGGACTGTCACCTTATTACTGCCAACTACAGGTAGAAAATAAAGTTTCTACTCTGCATCCATTGGCATCCATGGAGGGGGATGTTCCTTATGATTGCTGGACAGGGGTGAAAGTTCCAGGTTCCCAGTAAGCCTCCACTTGTCTAAAAACGGGTAGGAGTACCTGATTAATGTTTCTCACATTGCCTCCACTGATACTACTGGGGGGTAGCCTTGTTACTGCTGGGTGATGGTGAAAGTCCTGATTCTTCACTACCTCTGCACCACCCTTGGGCAGAGGAGGATTGGCTGCTTATTACTACCTGCTAGGAATAGAAGTTCACATTCTCCATGTGATTTCCACCAAACACTGCAGGCGTTGAGAGAGAGGCTTCATTTTATCTTGCTATGGGTGGACATGTTAGGTCCCCATTCAGTCTTTGGTGGCATTGGTGGGAATTGGGCCATAGTTTTTTAGGTGGTGTTTGATTGAAGTGAGTGTTTATTTTCTAAAAGTTTTGTGTCATGCTAAGCTGCTCCTTCCTTGGTCTTTTGGCTAGAGGAAAACCAGGTTTTTGTTGGGGCTTTTTGTCTGTCCCCATTGGTGTTTCTGGTTTGTTGGCTTCTTCACCTCCAAGTTTGGGATATGTGAGGCAAAAAGAAACCCAGGAACTCACTACTATATTGTTCCACAGGTCTCTACCTTTCAGAGTCTTATGTTTGTTTTATATGTAATATCCAGGGATTTTAGTTGTCCCTAAGAGAGAGAAGGAAAAGTACATTTATTCTATCTTCCTGGAAGTAGAAGTTATTTTATCTATAAAAAAATTTTTTTTTTAAATTCTACCCCCTTCATCCCACTCAAGTTAGTGCCTCCTTTCTCTGTGCCATTTTATTGATTGATTCATTTTGAGACAGAGTCTTACTCTCTTGCCCAGGCTAGAGTGCTGTGGCGTCAGCCTAACTCACAGCAAACCTCAAACTCCTGGGCTCAAGCGATCCTCCTGCCTCAGCCTCCCGAGTAGATGAGACTACAGGCATGCGCCACCATGCCTGGCTAATTTTTTCTCTGTATATATTTTTAGTTGTCCAGCTAATTTCTTTCAATTTTTAGTAGAGATAAGGTCTCACTCTTGGTCAGGCTGGTCTCGACCTCCTGAGCTTAAACAATCCATCCACCTCGACCTCCCAGAGTGCTAGGATTGCAGCCATGAGCCTCCATGCCCGGCCTCTCCATGCCATTTTAGAACCAAATTCTTTGAAATTATTTATCAATACTTGTTTTCTCCAGTTTCTCTCTTCTCATTCTCTCTTAAACCTATTCCAGTACGATTTTATCCCTACCACTCCTCCAAAAGAACTCTTGTCAAAATGTCATTTACAAGTGAATAATAAAAGCAGTAATACTTATCAAAATTTGTGGTTTCAGCTAAAGTTGTACTAAGAGAGAAATCTGTAGTCGTAAATGATTTATTAAATGAATTAAATTCTGGCAAGATTGGTCAAGAGAAACAGTGAGAAGGCAAAAATAAACAATGTTAATGCATTAGAAAATGATATAAATATTTTTAGTGAACATATTTAAATAAAAGAATATGTGAAATAATCTAATTATTGGAAATTTATAAGTTACCAAGACATTCAAAAAGAGATACAAAATCTCAATGGTCCTGTAACCATTCAGAATATTGATTTAGTTAAGTCTTTCTTTCCTTCTCTCAAATAAAAAGCACTAGATGACTTTTCATCTAAGTTGAGACAAATGCTAATTCCAAGGCTATATAAACTTTCTCAGAAAACAAGCAAACAAAAAAATGGTAATAATATTCATTTCATTTTCTGAGACTTATACTACAGGCTTGTTATCAAAACTAGTAAGGAGAGTGTCTAAAACTGAAATTTACAAACTAGCCTCACTTAGGAACATAGGAAAAAATAATCTAGCAATGTGTAAAACAGGTACGTGACCAAATTGGCTTTTTCTAGAAATGCAAGTTTTAATTGATACTAGAAATTTGTTCAAAATGTTTACACTTTAATAAAATTATAAGTTACTACACATCATAGACCTTCACATCATTAATTTAGAATAGTGAAAGTCTGATAATGCTGGGTATCTGTAGAACATGATGAGTACCATAATTTAGTTTTGAGTGTAATAGTCATTTTATTGAGAGGGAGTCAGATGGTCCCTCAGAGGTGGCAAAGTGTGAGTTAGGCCTTGGTGAATAATATTTTGTCAGAATGTTGGTGGGAACATTTCAAGTAGAGGAAATATATGTGCTAAAGCATAGCTGTGGCATTTGGGAATGGTAAGTGAATATAATTAGAGCACGATAAGGATATTGGGAAATGGCAGGAGATGAGACCGGAGATTTGTGCCAAATTGTGAAAGGCTTTATCTGCCTTGCTTCTGGCTAAATAATGGAATTTATCAACCCACTGGGAGTTGGAAAGCCAGTCAAGATTTTTGAGTCTTCCCTTAGCTCCTTATATTTAATGTTTTGTCTTTAGAAATAACTTACTGTTTGCATGTTTTGCATATGTAACTTATTTGAAGTTAGGTGCTTTCAGTGATTGACTTTTTGTTCATTAAAAATGTAGGAATCTGGATTTATGACTGAAATATTTAATATAATGTATTAATTTCATTTCCTCTGTGTTATATCCTGAACTTTTAAAACCATTCATGTCTAATCTCTTTCACCAAGCTGTTGCCTAAGAACTCTCCAGAGAAATATGAGACAGATGCCTGATTGATTGCATGTGCTCTGCCATTTTTTAACTTTATATGTGATAAAAGCATATTTTAATACATCTCTTTTTAAGAAATATTGATGAATTTATTGGAATTTTTTTTGAGTTATATTTTTTTTTTTGAAGAAAAGTCATTGGAGTGAACTTTCATTGTTTGCTAGGTTTTTTCTTCTCCCACCCTTGTCCTTTTTTTTATTGCATTGTGAGATGCAAGCAATAAATTTGTTTGTTACTCTAAATTTGTGAATCAGGGAATTTTAACTTCATAAATGCACTCACTTTCTTCTTAAGTACATTTCTTCTAACCCTCAGTGATGCCTTTATTTAATTTTTTTGATTATATAATTTGTTTGATTTTTTTTTTTCATTTAAGGTGTGACTGCACAGAAAAGTTACAGAACAAATTTGACTTTTTGCGCTCACAGTTGAATGATATTTCATCGTTTAAAAATATCTACAGATATGCCTTTGATTTTGCAAGGGTAGGTGCAGTTTCCATGTTTAGTTGTTTTAATAGCTTTTCATCTTGAAACCACACTTATGAAAATTTTTTCACTTATATTCTAGGATAAAGATCAAAGAAGCCTTGATATTGATACTGCTAAATCTATGTTAGCTCTTCTGCTTGGGAGGACATGGCCACTGTTTTCAGTATTTTACCAGTACCTGGAGGTATGTTTTTAAATTTTGAAATATTATTTTAAAAGTTAATCTGATTAAAAAATATACTTTTAATTAAGAAACAAACAGATTTTTAATATTGTACTTTTAAGAAATCTACTTGAGTAGACAAAATTTTGTTAAAATGCGTATATCTCTTGTCACTTCTGGACATTTTAGTTCATGTTTATTAATATATTTTGTACATAAGATATTTTCATTCTACCTACACACACAAAACACATGCACACAACATAAAACCTCCAATAAATATATTTTAGCACAGGCATTCTTCATGCAAAACTAGTTTCTGGGGTTTTTGTCCAGAGAGAATTGATACCAGCACATAAATCTCAAGCTTCTGAATCTGGTTTCTTTCTGTCGTTATACAGGGTCTTAGGCTGAAATGCACATAAGAGAACTAATTTAGTAATAAAACTTTCCTCTTCTACTTAAGGTCAATATGAAGAATAGAGTAAGGCTATTAATAGCTTATGGCCATAAATCTGAGAATGGCTATAATAGTATATGCTTAATACATTGACTGTTACACTAGAAAAAATTTTTTTTTCCTGGGGGCCACAATGTTTTATTACAAAAATAGAATAAAAACTTCTAAAACAAAACGATCCTTTCAAATTTAATGAAAAATTTATTTTTTATTGCTTTTTGTGTTTTTTTAATAAAAAAGTAATATAAAAACTTGAAAGTTAGTATTATAAAAAGCAATGTGAAAACTTGAAAAGTACTTTGTAAGGGTAAAGTGTTTTTCTTGACTTGTCAGGCTTAAGTGTAATTTAAAGGTAAACATAAATAGGAAAATGAAATTTATTGATTTCTATTCACTTACTCCACGTTTTTAGAATTAAATTGTCACTATGAATTGTAATAATAAGAACATCAGCAAGTAAGATTTTCACAAACCAACTTCAGGGTTTTGCCTAGGGAGCCATCTATCACATAACATGTGCTACAGCATGGCAGCGTGAGTTGCCTGTGTACCATGCAGTTCCCAAGGTAAAGAGACATGTGAGTTATATATGCTTCATGAGGACCCGGGCTCAAAACTAGTGTGAGTTAAGTACAACTCACATGGCAGTTAATGTGTTAAATACTGGTTACTAAAAGTATGCTGAGTTTAGGAAATGTTCCTTTAGAAGATTTATCATGGCATCTAATAGAGGAAGTGATTCTAAGAAGGTGTTATTCTTTTTTCTATTGTATCTAGTTTTATATATGTTTTTGTGCCCTTTTAATTTTAGGGTTTTTTTGGTTTAGTTCTCACCATTTCTTGGATACAGATTCTTTTCCCTTTGGAAATAATTCCATAAAGCTGATTGCTTGTCATAGCAAGTTCTCCAGAGTAGTTTTATTTAAAGCTTATGATAAGAGAGAATAAAGGTCTTGTGTGAATGAGTTTTGTGCACAATTAAATCTTTAAGCCCAATAAAATAAATATTTTTGATGGATAGTATCTACTTTTTTCTTAGTAGTTTTGGGAAAAAATAAATTTAATTGAATATAAAAATATTCCACTCTATGGGCAGCTGAGAAGACCAACTAAATATTTTCAAACACTTGTTATGTGCAGGCTGTTTGGCATAAATTATCTTCTTTAATCTTTATAACAGAATTTTGAATTAAGTTTTATCTCCATTTAGCAAATGAGGAGAAATGTGTTCTGTTCTTTCGTAACTTTCTCAAGGTCACTCAGTTAAGTGGCAAAGGTGGGATTTGAACCCAAGCCTATACTTTTCCCACTGCCTCCAAAGATACCATCCTCAAAATGTGGCTAAATAGTAAATTTTATGCAAAGAAATGATTTGCTAGGAAGCAGCACAAGGGAACTTACTGGATATAGAAACTGTTATGTATCTTGATCTTGGTGGTTATGCAAGTATATACAAATGTAAAAATTCATTGAGTTTTATCCTTAGTATTAGTACCCTTGATACTCCTACTATTCCTCAAAAATGTAAGCAAAGTAAAGGAAAAAAAAATCCATGATGTTAATGCCCTTCAGGAATCTCTTAGAAGTGCAAATAATTTAATTAAAACAAGAATAAATGCTTTGGGAAAAACAAAATCACAAAAAAAGTTATAACTAAATTTACTAAAGTCAAGCCTTAATAAGTAATATTGGTTCTGTAATCCAAATATTTAAATCATTTTCCACAGCAATCGAAGTATCGTGTTATGAACAAAGATCAGTGGTACAATGTATTAGAATTTAGCAGAACAGTTCATGCCGATCTTAGTAACTACGATGAAGATGGTGCTTGTAAGTATAATATACAGTGTTCCTATGAAAATACAATTTCTAAAAATATTAAATGAAAGTATATATTTGTGTAGCGTTGGCATAAAATTTTAAACTTTTCAACAGTAACTTTTATTAATCATGTGAGGGGATATAAGAGAGGTAGAGAGTTTAGAGTCTGCAGTATTATAAGATCTGTGTTGGTAAATGAAATGTTTTTAATTCAGTAACTAAACGTTGCTAAATTTAAATTTAATTTCTGCATCTAGAAAGTACATTTATGCTTTACTCCTGTTTTTCCTGACATTTTCTTATAGAAGAAAGGTACAGTCATGATTTTGAAAATGTGAAAGCAAAACAGCTATAATTGAAAAAGCTTTAAAGTTAATATCATAAACAATATGGCAAATAATGACAAAATAACCTCTCTGAAAATTATAAATTGATCTGAGTAAACTGATAGTGAAGTATTTACAATTTTTCAATGCTTCAAGTTAAAATATCTGTTCATTCTCAGTGGGAAGGTTAGAATGCCATAAAACAGAATTTTGAAGTAATGATAAATCAATTAGGCAAGCCAAATTCACTAGAACTATAAATTAATGTTTTCAGTTTCTGCCACCATTTTGGTTGCATATATCATTTTAATGTTCAGAAGGTTTACATGGAAAGGTACATTTTCTATATGCTTAAACTGAAATTATGCACCTATTTCTGTGACACCGAAGAAATAAAACACTGAGGAAGGGCTATTTCTACTTGTGTATATTGTGTCCTCCCCCTACAAGAAGGTATAATATTTAATACTATTTTAAAGAATTAATACCTAGCAGCAGTAAACTGTCAGCCCAAGGGCTGTATATGGCCTGCAGATATGTATATTCATGTATTTTGAACCAACATTTAAAACTGGGAAATTTTGTTTAAAAATACAACTTTTAGATTTGTTGAAAAATCAGAAAATCTGACACAATTGCGCCTGTGCTCTTTCCAAGGAATCAGAGGCTGGAGCCAAATGGTGGCTGTGTTGAACTTGCCTTCTAGTTTGACAGTCCACAGTATGCCGGTACCTCCTAGGCTGTTTTCAGCTGCCATTTATTATTATACTTGCTCTGCTGCTTTTCCTACAGTAGCGAAATATGTCTATCAAAAGCAAGAAGAAAAAAAAGACCACCAGAAGATTATGTGTTTTAAGAAAAATAGGGCAAGCATATTTCTTTGTGGCAATGATTTTTCCTACATTTACATAAAATAAACACTGAGCTCATTTTAACTGAGCTCATTTACCTACCTGGCTTCTGTAGGTAATGAATTTGGACCTCTCCTGCATTAATAAAAATATGTTTTCTAGAATAGTACTTACTTAGCTCATTAGTAAAATATTCATTAGGTACTTGTATTGTGTTCAGCTTTGTCATCCTTCGCTGGAATAAAGTAAGTCTCTAATATGGCCAATCCCCAAAAAGCTTACACACTTCTTGGGGAGGTAACAGAAATACTACCTTAAACACTTTTCAGATTGTTTAATAATTAAATGCCAGAATGCTGTGGGCACTTAGAAAAAGGGAGAGGTTAGTATTGACTAAGTTATGGGAGGATTCTTGACACACATCCTGAAAAGGAAGTTGCTACAGCTACCCATTGTGGAAGGTCCTTTATGTCTCCAAGGGTGGGGAAAGAAAAGGTTAATAAGAAAGCATCATTAAATGCTAAAGGGTGGCTGGAAGTAAAACACCTGGAGAAGGGAAGAGTCAGGCCCCTATCACCACTGAGCTTATGGGGAATTTGTTTTATAGTTGGAAAGATGAGTTCACTGAATTCTAACAAAAATTGTTTGTTTATTTCTAGGGCCTGTTCTTCTTGATGAATTTGTTGAGTGGCAAAAAGTCCGTCAAACATCATAGCAAGAACTATTGTGAAGAAAGTGCAAACCTTTTGAGTCCCATGTGTGTACAAGCTAATGAGATGAGGGAGAAAAATCTAAAGGGTGCATTTTCATTCATATGAAAGACTTCTCATAGTACTTTTTTTCCTTTTTTTAAAGGAGGTTTTCTTGTTACATGTGATGGGCATTGAGCCACACCTCTTCTTAGACTGAATATTGAAGTTTTTTGTTTCTAGTTATGTTTATAACATTTATTTCAGAACAATAAAGATTCAGATTTGTGACAAAGGCCTTAAAGTGAAGATGTCCCTTGAGTGTCAGAGTGGTATTTATTTTTGTAAATTTGAATTCTTGAATTTCTGAGGTTCTAATTCACCATGAGTTTGTGGAATTTTAAAGATTTTAAACAATCTTTATATTTGGCAATGTAGTCTGCTGATGTTATGGCTTATTATATTCATCTCTGCACAATTAAGAAGAGTAATTGGCCTTGACTTCTGGGATAATGATTTTCTGATGCAGCTAATAAACATTTCTAGATATGGGAAGTGCCCCTACTTTCAGCTGTGGGTTTCTGTAAAAGCTGCCAAAGTCTTATGCATATATCTTATCTGAAGAGTTTAAAATTGGAAAGATTATGTCCAGTTTATTTGTTTTCTAACCATTAAATAGCATTGTCAGTAAGCATATATGAACATGTGTGTATATTCTTAATGTGAATTTTAAGTTTTCTGTACTTCTGTCAGTTAAAAAGTTCTGTTTGCATTTGAAAGAGCAAGATATATAAATGGCCTCAAAATCAGACAGCTTTGTGAGAGAATTAGGACTACTATTGAAATTGTATCATTATTGTTACTAGCGGCATATTTGTGATATTTTTAACTGTCATTATATAGGGAGTTTTGTTGAGAGCACTTTTTTTTTTTTTTTTTTTTTTTTTTTGCCTTAAAGGAACTTTTAGTTCTGATATGGATTTAGTTAAGATACACTTAGGAAAAGAAGATAATAGAGAAGGAACCATGAGAGAACTCTAGGTATAATTGTGCCCACCTGTGTGGAGCCATTTACACTGGTAGTATCTCAGCACTGTTATTAATAATTATCACAATTTTCTGACTGTTGGCAATAAAGTATCTTAAGGAAATAGTAGCCTTTCCTAACTCACATAAAAGGTACGTTTTGGACTAACAGCAGGCCTGTTGGTACATTTATTTTCAAGCCATCCATTATACCAGTGATATGAAAAACTTTGTTCACAGTCACAGTCCATTTATGTCTTAAATAAAATTCCTGATATCACTGTGTGTGAGTGGAGAGAAGTAAACAGATTATTTTTCCATAAGGAAGTTTCTATTGGGATTTATGTAAAAACTGACTTTTGATGGTGAATTTGTTTAATGAGCAATTTTTCAATATTGATTATTTAAGGAAGAATGGCATTTTAAAGCTGCTTATTGTATGCTTTTTTGGTTAATGAGCAGAGAGAAAGTGATTGCCAATATTTTATTAATACTTCTTAATAAGATTACTTTGTACAGTTTTATAAAACACTGATATGTTAGTAGGAAACAGTATTTTCCTAAATATCATAGAAAAGGATAATTTTTCTGGAATGCACCTATTAAGTATTAGCAGTGCTGAATTATCAGAACTGAGCATACCAATGGTGTTATGATTTAATGAGGTTTTAATATCAAATTTATTATAAGGAAAGCATGTAGATTTTTAGACTTTGAGTTTATAACTTAATTGACTCTTCTCTCCAAGTCGTAACTTCTGAACTTGAAGAATATTGTCCATTTTTGTTTAATTCCAAAACATAATTTAGGTGATATCTTAATTGTCAATTTGTAGCCTGAACTAATGGTAATATCTTTATCATCTTCAGTATTTGAGTAAAGTAAGAAACACTCAAAACTTATAGATGACCTTTAAAAAAACAAAATATATGAAAATATAGTTATCCCTCAGCATATGCAAGGGTTTGGTATCTGTACCCACACATATACCCAATCTGTGCATACTCAAGTCCCACAGTCAGCCCTACAGGACCTGCCTATATGAAAAGTCAACCCTCTTTAGGCATGGGTTTCACATCCCGCAGATACTTTATTATCAATCTGCGTTTGGTTGGAAAAAATCTGTGTATTAGTGGACCTGCACAGTTCAAACCCATGTTTGCTTACTTTTCCAAAGATACTTTTAAGGTTTTTTGAATCTGAAAATGGAAATGAAATTTGCTTTCTTTTTTTGTTGTTGTTTAGCAGTCCCATCCTACCTTGGCCATTTTTGCTTTACTCTCTTGCTCTATTTCTCTTATCTTACTAAAGTGATAACATTTGCCTCCTTTGGAGGCAAATTTACTCTGCCTAATTAATCAGTCAGGGTGTGGACTGTGTCTGCTCTTGTCTTTCCTTTCTTAATTTTGGATGGCATTTGATTTATTGGGAAACTTATGATCAAGATGTTAAGTGATAAAAACAAAGAAGACAATATGAAGGAGCCTTCAGTATAAAAAAGAAGTCTAACCATTGTGGCTCTTTTTTGACCAGTTAGCTTTAAGTGCCTTCCCAGGAATCCTGTTGTGAAAATTTCAGAATTATTTCCTTTGTACAGGATGATATACTCTATGGTGCTTTATAACATGGAGTTGACTTGCTTCTTATAGAATAATATACAAATGTAATACTACTGGAAGAAAGTAGAACCAGGTGTTTGTTCTCAACTGTGGGAGAAAGGAGAGGTTACTCCCCACATCCCTCTAGGCCAATATTTTTTGATAAGATTGCATATCTTTAGGAAACTGCCAGGGATTCAGGTAACATAGTGTGATAAGAAATGGTATATCTGTGCTGATCTGAATCTGTTACCATGTTTGTCTTTTATTATCTAACGATTTCTTATTTTTTAAATGCTGCTGATAAAATTCTTGATGTAATACATTTTTGGCAGTAGTAGTATTTTTACGTACAATATATAGGTTTTGATTATTTGGTTTGTAATCTGAATACTCTAAATTAGTGTTTCTTGAGTTGAAATTTGAGGGCCTTTTATGGAAGTGTTAGATTAACCCTGAGGAGTATTTCTCTTAAATATAAATGCCTTTTCATCTAGCAAACCAAAAATTTATCTTAACAATATTGAATGCCATCACTTTGGAGAGGAGAGAATGGGAGTAGAATTTTGAGATAACTCTAGAGTTATTAAAGCATACCAGGTATGTGGAGTAGCTCAGATTTAGAACACATGTAGTGTATAGTGCTAATGAAACATTTCAATTTGAAGTATTTCTTCAGTAAAACACGTCTTGTCTGCCTAATTGCTAATGTGAAATTATGAAAAGATTTATTGAAATATATTAGTTTCAGGAGCAAGTGGTATGAATTCTGACTTAATTTGTTTTACTGCTTTTTTTTAAGAAATACAGTTAAAACTGTTGTGATAATTCATCATCTGATAAAACCTTGTTCTGGCTTTCAAGGCTCCAGTAACCCTGGGGTTTTATAGCACATCTGTTATGTGTTTCCCAAATGTCTAAAGTATCAGATAAATTAAGGGCATTTTAATAAGTAATTTAAATGCCTTTCATTGTTAAAATAAGAGAAAAGGACAAAACAACAATTAAAAAAAAACACTCATAATCTTATTCCCAAAGAGGAATTCTGCCTTCTTGAGGAAGTATTGCTTTTTGAGTGATACTAGAAATCATCACAAGGAGAAATGTCAAAGAAGAGATCATTTTCTCTTCAAGAGGAAAGAAATAACAGCAAAATTTCATTATGTTCTCAATATGAAAGGCTAGTCTGAATTATTAAATATTCTGAATTAAGTAATTTTTAATGATTGTAGTTTTATTATTTTTATGAATATTTGGTACCAGCCAGGCAAACAGATTGCTTAAGACATAGTCCTTTTTGTTCATAGACCTGTTTACCTGTGAGTAGTACTGTGGAAGCCCAAAAAGCAGTCTAACTTTCATAGATTATGGAAAGATGAATTTCGGATGAAGTGTCACTAATAGAGGTTAATTGTAGAGGTTTTTCTAGTGAGCTTTTACTTCACTGGAGCAAATCTTTCAATTTTTTTTAAAGCACAATTTATTTACCTTTTTCCAAACACCAATCTTGATAAAACTGACTATACATTTGCTGTCTCCACCTTACAATCTTTTGTATCCTATAAGTACAGATAGTGTTTCCTTTGCTCCTTTCCCTGACCCAGTTGTTATTGGTGTGACCAGTTTCTTTTTAAGTTGGATGAGACATTTTGCTGTGTATACTGTGTAATATATTAGAACCTTTTATAATATGGCTCATTTTTACATGGGCTCTGATTTACCATGTGTTAAACATTCTTTAAAATATATCCAGTAACACTCTAATAAGGTTAGACTTTGACATAAGCATTCAATCTTGTTTTATAATGCCAATTCTATTGGAGTTTTGTTGTAGTTATTTTATGGATCTATGGTCCATAAGTGGCAATTATAGCAAAGCAGTTTTATTAAAAATTTCTTAGCTTCCCCCAAATCATATCATTTTGTAGAAGTTTTATCCTTCTGTTTTTTGGATTTTTTGGCTTTAAAGTATTAGTGAATTTTTCCACATACTTCATGGATTTGCTTTTAAGTAATAAGTAAAAGGTGTGAATTTTAAAAAGCTAATAAATCCTTGAAATAGATATGTATAAAGCCAGATTTTTCCCAAAACTCTGTGGGGTGTGTGTGTGTGTGTGTGTGTGTGTGTGTGTAGAATTATTAGCCGTAATTTATTTTTCCATGTAGAAAATAGATCATGGATAAAAGCCCTTCACAACATAACTTGAAGGTCAAAAGAAAATTTGCTTTCTCATTATCACTACCAATTATGTTTGAATCATAAAAGAGGAAACACTAATACTTTATTTGAACAAGTTGTCATTTGAGACTTAGGATTGACTCATCAAACTTAGCAGAATTAATTTTTGTGAGTATTGAATTAAGTGAAACTAGTTTACATAGAGTACCTATACTATTCTATCATGCAAGTAAAATGGTTTATAGCAAGTTTGTATAAAGTTACTTTTATCTACAAGTGTAGAATTCTCATCTGTTTTGGATTTATATTATTGCCTGAAAATACTGTGAATATTGAGAGTTTATAGAAAAATATCTGAGAAACCTGAGTTTGGTTTTCTCTTTGCCACATTCATGTTAGGTCACTTTTAGACGAGTCACTTGACCTCTGTCATCAGTTTCTTCTTCTGTAAAATAGCAATAATAATAATAATAATACCTACTAGTTTTGTTATAAAGTTCAAATAGGGC